GGTCTGTTTTCTGGGGGCTTGCAAGTGGTATGACTGGTTTTGACTGGCTGGTGGTGGCCAATGTCTGTGGAGCAGAGAAAGGCAGCAAAGTGCTTGCAGCAGCCTTGTCTTCTCCGAGCAATCTGAAAGAGGCATGCTTGTGGAAAATGGCTCACCGAGTTGGTGAATCAAGATCTAAAGTACGGAAATAATCATAAGCAGAGCATAATGTAGACTTTGCTTCTTTAAACTGTCTTAGGAAGTTTCACGGTCTTCTGTTTGAAAGGATTTTGACTTGAATGCCCAGGTAGATGTGCTGAAGACTCAAATGTGAGTCAAGGAAAGAGGTAAGGTACTAAGTGGGGGCTCCTCTGATGCAGGGGCCCATGCAGGTAGTGACATTAGCATGCATGTCATGTGTCCTCTCTGTGCCTTGCTCAGTATGCAGGTGACATCTGTTTCCCTTCCCACTGATTTAGCCCCTGAGCACCATGGAGAGTCACCATGGGCGTGCTGCAGAGCTCTCCTTCACGGTCTGCAGGGCAGGCTTCGGATTCCCTGTAAGATGCACAGCGTTCTCCCTCCTACTGCTCCCGGCTCAGATGCAGGCTGGCATGTTTTCTAGGCACCTTCTTTTCTGCTAGAAATAACCACTCCCCGCAGGGCACCCTTGCTACTTCGCTGAGACCAGAGTACCTATCAGACTCCCTTTCTCACTGGGTAGCACCCCCACTCACACCGGGCACCCACATATCCCTGAGCACACCAGTACCTGTTGATATGACTGCCACCACAGCCGAAGCCCTGTGCCCCCAGGTGTCAACACTATGAGTGTTCAGCAGTTAGGCATGGATCTAGTGACAAGCCACTCTCTCCCCTTTTTCGGAATCAGCTCTGCCTCAGCGGTTCCAAAGCAGTGTTTCTCCCTCAAAAGCCGAAAAGCATTCTAGGAAAACTGTGTTTCAGGTTCGCTTCCCAGGCCCAACCCCAGCTTCTCCCCAGTATTTTGGGGCACTTAGCCAAAAGGCCTACTGGAGTGACAGGCACAGTGCTGTGCTCAGAAACAATGCTCCTCTTTGGATTCTCAAGGTTTGTTTCAGGATAAAGCTCAGCAGTGTGGGTGAGGGGACCCCTTGCTCCCTATTCTCCCAGAGGAAGGGCCTCAAGTCCGCTTTGTAACTGAATGCAGAGCAGCCTGCTGGGCAAGCCTTCCAAGCATGCCCAGGGAGGCTCATGCGGGGAGGGAGGGAGGCCCCTCACACGTGCACATGGTCACATACATGCACAACAACATAATTAGCTGTATAAATGTCACTTGTTTCTACGAACACAAAGAAGTCATTTTTAATTAAGAATAAATTAAGACAATATTTAAATAATGCTCTCCTGAAATGGGACCAATTACAGAATGGTGAGGTTGGAATTCTCAGCTTCTAGTCAAATCATCCATTTTCCACTAGGTGGCAGACCTTGTTAAAAAGTTAAGAAAAAGAATTAAAAAAGGAAAGCAATGAGTCTTCCAAAGGTGACCAATAGGTGTCTCCTTGCCACCACGTATCCCTTAGCTGTTGTCAAAAATACAAATTCAACATCTTCTGCAGTCTTTCTTGTTCACCTAATAGATAAGATCAATGTTTTTCACAAGATACAAAAAGAACATTGAAGAGGTGAAGACATTTTTTTGCTATTGTTTTCACCCCAATTCACGTACACACACACACACACACACACACACACTTTGTGTATATTATAATAAACATAGTATAGCCATCCAAAGGGAAATGAGATTATAAAACCATATCTAGAAATAAATTGTGAATACAGTGATTTGACAAAAACTAAATCTCATTAAAATGCTGTTCCCATGTTAAGCAAGGTTCTCTGCTAGAAGTGATCTTATATATATAATGATCCTGTATAATGGCACTTAATGAACTGAGCCATTAGAACTCACTCAAGATGCACAAGTTAGTGGCTATAAGCCTGGTGAATATGGCACTGGGAACACACAGGAAATAATGGAATTCTTAAACAGCAGAGGGACATCCTGACATCATTTTTTGCTATTGTTTTCACCCCAATTCACATACACACACACACGCACACACACACACACATTCACATTTGACCCTGCTGACACCTCTGAGTAGATACACCTATGTATGATGAGTGCGTATATAAGCAGAATCCCTTGCTTGTTCTTATTATTTCACCTTTTATATTGGGAAACATTTATCTCTTAATCATTCTAAGAGTATGAAACAATTTACAGATAGAGAAATCCAGGTATTAAAAGGAAACATTTATTTCTCTTTTAGTGGTTGGTTTACTTTACCTGATGCTGAGTTAAATTGTGAGTTAGGAATACAGATACAAATGTATTCATATGTACACAAATACAGACACACATGCAAAACCATGAGATGATGTCACATCTTTGTCATTCAAAGTTCAAAGTTATATAAAAACACTTTGCTACCACCTAGTTTAAAATATTAGTAATGCATTATAGTATTCTCCAGATACCACAAGCTAACAATATTCCATGCCTGCATATCATCTAAGAGAGTTAATTCATCCCCACCTATTTCAGGTGATCATGCCACAGACTAAAGCCAGTAAGAGGTGCCATTCATTGTATGGGATAGGGTACAGCATAAGATGGGATACTCTGCCTCTGCCAACCCATGGTTTCTTCTAGTGCTAGACTTACTCCATTTCCTAAACTTAGTAGTCAGTAACTGCACTGTTTTTTTTTATAACTAATACCTAACTATACACAAATCTCTGTGCAAAGTAAATAAATCTGAGGTGCATTCCCAAATCCCATAAATCTACTTTATTTCCATATTTGGCAAGAATATGTCTTTCATGAAAAAGACTGGGTCCAGGAGAAATCCCACTGGTACAGGGGAGCCTGTGGCAAACCTCCCATCAGGTCCCAGACCTTTAACTTAGAAAGTTCTCCACAAATTATCTTTGTCAACTTCTTCAGAAAACAGAGGAAATAAGAGACTGTCAGATAAGTTACATCTAATAAAATTCATGATTAAGGAATTAGATGACATTGGTCCCACATACCCCACAAAAGATAGGTGGAGTAGGGGCTACACCATGGGGAGGGTTCTTTTTTAAGCAGCTGCTTCTCCCAAGAAACTGCCCCCAGGCAGCACTTTCCCTCTCTTCTCTCCTCCACACTCACTCAACTGCCATGAGCCTAGGAGCTGTATCTATGCCTTCCTGATTTTGTGTCTCACCTGAGCCCACTAGCTTGCCTGGCTGGGCTGCACACACAGCAACATCTCAGAAGAAGAGCCATTTTCTCCCTGTTCTAATAAGCCTGATTATGTCAGCCTGGACTAATTTCTTGCATTAGCAAAACCCATTTGGGTTTGTTTTGCCCAAATGAAACATTTTAAACCTGCTGTGCTTGCCTCAGCATGAGAGTGTTCTAGTCAGTGACCAGAGCCAGCTTCTCCATATGACCCCAGTGGCTTCCAGGACAGGAACCTGCTGCCCTGTCTTAGCAGAGTTCCAGCAGCTGGCCCCTGGGTGGGGGCCTCACTTCTCCTCTATGGTGTTGAGCACAGTGCCCTGACAGCAAACACCTGTGCCGCCTGACTCAGCTGGCAGACCAGACCTCACACAGGTCTTCCTGTGACTAGCTACCACGCAGACCTGTGTAATGACATGCCCCCTACATGATCCTGAGCACTCTCTGCTCATCCCGGAAAGTGCGGTAAAATGTTCTGACTCTGATTTGTGTCATGTGTGATGAGTCCCCTGGACATGCAGTGGGAGACTCAGCTGCTATGCATTTGTGATCTGAAGTCAAGGCTTTTTCCAAGCATAGTGAATTACTGTTAAACTTTCTAAATGAATTTTAAATATACACACTTTAGCAAGTTATCTTGTGCTACAATTACCAATACAAGTAAACACCAAAATGTTCTCTAACACTGCACTACTGTGAATCGACTCTACAGAGTAAAAGGAGGAAGTCAAAGCACTTGGCATTTTGTATTTTCTCAACAATATAGTATCTTAACAAAATGTGCCTTTTGCAGGAAATGGAATGTCAAGGACGAGGACTCCTGTCCCATTAAACCAGGTGCCTAGATCTGGACAAGCCCTCACAACAAGTGGCAAGTCCAGAGAACTTGTTCTGAATTATACTCCAGTTTATAGTCTGTCTCCTACAAATACTGTTTCCTTTAACATAAAGATTCCTCCAGATTTCTTTCTCTGACATTTAAATTGGTGGCTGTTGGAAGGAAAAAGGAGGAATCATTGAAATCAGCTCAGGAAACCTGTGAGCACCCATCTCCCTCCTCCTGCCCCATGCACACTGTCTTGTTTCCTCACCCCAAGATTAAGAAGTTATGCAGTCTGGCAATGAACTTTCCTCTTACAAGTCTTGACTTCCCCACTGTTATTTGCTTTCTCATTTTTTTCCAACACCTGTTACAAACAACAGTAGGGTGGTCTTACTGCCTATTTGTCCTTTCTTTAATTTTTAAGCAAAAAGAAGGGCAAAAAGTCTGGAATGGACAGAGATGCTTGAAGTAACAGTTGAAATTTCACTTTTAATAGGAGCCACCTTAGAGTATTTTCAGATTTAATGCCACATACAAAATCAAAGTATTTTTGCTGGTTACTAAACTGGCTTCTTAAGACTTTAACCAAGCAGTACTCATAACATAACATTCCTTTAAAAACACAGTTCAAGCAACTGGAAGATACCGAGATGAATTTCAATGACTTTATACTGAAGAAAGTAGCACGACATAAAAGCACATAAATACTTGAAATGAAATAATTGTCTTTAAAGGTCCATTCACGCGTTTTCCCCCAGAAAAGTACATAGTGACACACGAAAATACAATAACCCTTGTCAAATGTATTTGTGAGAGAATTTCCCGCACCTAATGAGTTTACCTATTGCTCCTCCCCCACCCCACCCCCACTTCGTCCGATAAGCAGGTCTTTCGTGGGCCACAAGGCATTTCTTTCAAGCCCCCATTGCTGGAAGGGTGACATAATTGCTGCCTTTCCACGCAGAAGTGCGCCCCCGGCTGCCCCGAGGCCCTAGACGAGGGCGCGACGGCTGGGAGCTGGGCACGCGCCCTCCGCGCGTGGACTCTGTCCTCAGCTTCCACCATCCCTTTCCAGCGCCAGCTTGCAGTGAATGCATTGGCCGCTGTACCAGTGAAGCCTCACCAAGCGCCCCTTCCAAGCAGAAGCTGCCCTGTCCGGCGCCGGCGGGCACCGCGGACCCCTCCCGGCCGCCGCCCGGGGCTCTGGGCAGCGCGGGGCTCAGCGCCCCCGCCACTGGCGGGGCTGCGCGAGGATAGTCACCTCTCTTGAAAATGCTTAGGCACTTTTTTCCCCTCTCCACTGAAACCCCGAAGTACAGCCCATTTTGAACCAGAATAATTTAGTCTGACAACAGATTCTTCCTCTGTTCACAGCTGTCCCAGAGGGAGGAGCTGAAATCTGAACCTCTCAGCCGTGATTGGATCCCTCCTGCAAAAGAGAGGAAAAAAACCCTCCCGGCCTGACCCGGCTCAGTTTGCTAGGAGCCGGGGACTCCGCGGCGCCGTCCGAGCCTCCGCACCTGCGCCGCCCGCGCGCCCGCCCGGCGCGGCCCTGCCCGCCGCCCGCCCGCCCGGCCCGGCCCTGCCCGCCGCCCGCCGGCCGCGATGCTTTAGGGCCGCCGCCCGCCCGCCGGACCGTTATCCGCGCCGCCGCCGCCCGCAAGATGCCGCGCTCCTTCCTGGTCAAGAAGCATTTCAACGCCTCCAAAAAGCCAAACTACAGCGAACTGGACACACACACAGGTAAGGAGGAGAAGAAAGGAAGGGAAACGATAGCTATAGCTATCTAGTTCTGAAAAGCTATAAACATATGTTAAACTCGGATTCTGCCCCGAAAGAACTGAAGACTAAGTTGTTGCCTTTTAAACAGTGTCCTAAAACAGCGTCCAGACTTTCTGATCACTTAGGGTAAGTTTTGATTCAAAGTTTTCCAACTCAACTGACAAGGAGCCCTTCATTCAGCCCTTGCAACTTCATTTTATAAAACTTGTACTTACACGCATAATGACCAGGCAGGGTGAGTGACACAGTCTCTAAATGTTGAATTAATTGCTTTTTTCATGTAATACGGCTCCTTTCCTTTAGAAAGCAGCTGGTTTATGCCTATCTTTGTCCTCATAGTCATAAAACCTGCAAATAACCCCTGCATAAAGTGGAAAACTACTTTTCTGCCTCTGGAAGTAACTTAGAAGTAGGTGTACCTCCTCCGCGGGGCCGGCGCGGGGACGCGCCCTGCGCGCTCTCCCATGGCTGAGGCGCCCCGCGTGCTGGTGTAGCTCCTGTCACCGTGTGCTCAGGAGGCTTAGACGTGAGTTGAGTACACGCACCAAGCAACAGCAAGGGAGGATGTGAAACGTATTTCTGATTGATGCCTGTCTTCCCGAATGAGTCTGTCTTCTCCATTATAAAGTCCTGTGTGTGTTGCCAAGCAGCTTCTTAGTATGGTTTTAAAGTTATTTTTTGCCTTAATCTTCTTTCCTTTCCTTTTCTTTCCCCCAGTGATCATTTCCCCATATCTCTATGAGAATTACCCCATGCCTGTCATTCCACAACCAGAGGTCCTCAGCTCGGGAGCATACAGCCCCATTACCGTATGGACTACAGCCGCCCCATTCCACTCCCCACTGCCCAGCGGCCTCTCTCCTCTTTCTGGATACCCCTCATCCTTGGGGCGAGTGAGTCCCCCTCCTCCATCTGACACCTCATCCAAGGACCACAGCGGCTCAGAAAGCCCCATTAGTGACGAAGAGGAAAGACTACAATCCAAGCTTTCAGACCCCCATGCCATTGAAGCTGAAAAGTTTCAGTGCAATTTATGCAATAAAACCTATTCAACTTTTTCTGGGCTGGCCAAACATAAGCAGCTGCACTGTGACGCCCAGTCTAGGAAATCATTCAGCTGTAAATACTGTGACAAGGAGTATGTGAGCCTGGGTGCCCTAAAGATGCACATTCGGACCCACACCTTACCTTGTGTCTGCAAGATCTGTGGCAAGGCGTTTTCCAGACCCTGGTTACTTCAAGGACACATTAGAACTCACACTGGTAAGAGAAAAACGTAGATAGGAATGTTACTCTCTGATAGAATGAAGCTCTGGGATGGCTTTCAGATTTGCATTAGGTAGTGACACTGCTTTTAATGATGGATGATCATTTATATAAAGCTACTTCCTGATGACTCGAAAAGTCACTAGAGCACCAAGTGCTCCCTTTCTTGTTAACAACCTCTGCTCCAGAGACTGCAAACAGCATTTAGACTTTGGAAAGCAGAGCAGATTCAGAAGGTTTGGTCTCAAAGATCAGTTTAGAAAATCAGGAAAGGTGTACTTCAATGTGTGTTCTGGGAAACTACTCCCAGTATAATCAGCAAATACAAATGTTGCTATCTTAATCAATTGATTTGGTAGATAGATAGATGAAGGGCTTTCCTATAGTTTTCTGTTAGTTACATTCTCGCCGTGATATCTCTCACCCCATAGTAAGTAGGAGAGTTGGAACGGAAGTGGCTTTCTGTTGTTTTGGGGTTTTGCTGCTGAATTTCTTATTCCTAGCACAAACTCATCCTACAGGAGGTCAAATCATTTATCCAGACTGAGTCATAATAAAAAAGGAGGGAAATGGGGAAATACGGGGAAATGTAGGGAGGAGCTCAGCATAGCTGCACCTGCTGAAGCAGAAAGCTCTAATAAGTGAAAGTCCTTGAACTACAGGGATTGTTTCTGTGTAAGACAGATTTTTTTAATGTAACACTCAAATTTATCATAAATGGCCAGATATTAAAATAAGTATCTGCTATGGGGAATTTTAATCAGGGTTTTGTTTTTGTTTTTTGCTGTTTCTCATTCTCTTGGCAAAATGTGACTGTTATTCATAAATGTTATCTGACTTTATGTTTCCTCCAAAAACACTGATCATCTTTCTTCCCCTACCCCCCAGGGGAGAAGCCTTTTTCCTGCCCTCACTGCAACAGAGCTTTTGCAGACAGGTCCAATCTGAGGGCTCATCTGCAGACCCACTCTGATGTAAAGAAATACCAGTGCAAAAACTGCTCCAAAACCTTCTCCAGAATGTCACTTCTGCACAAACATGAGGAATCTGGCTGCTGTGTAGCACACTGAGTTACGCAACCAATGTTTACTCGAACAGAATGCATTTCTTCACTCCAACTCCAAATGACAAATAAAAGTCCAAAGGCATTTTCTCTTGTGCTTACTGACCAAATAATATGTACACACACACACACACACACACACACACACACACACACACACACACACACACTAAAAGCTGCAAGCACGGAATCCATGTGTTTAAAGTTAATCCTTTCCATGTGAAGTTTAAAATTACTATATATTTACTGACAGTTAGATTGAGAGGATAAAAGGCAAGGATCATTCTCTTCAAAGATGAAGCGAAAAGCACATTGCATTCTTCTTATGAAGAAAGAATGCAGAGATTTACATTGCTGCCAAATCATTTCAACTGAAAAGAACAGTATTGCTTTGTAATAGAGTTTGTAATAGTATTTCCTATAGGAAGAGAATCTGCCAGACACTATCTCAGGTGCCTTCTAGAGTATTCCAAGTTTACTTCATTATGTGTCTGATGTCTGGTTACCATTGTTGGACTACAACTTTTTTGATTACCTGTAAGGCTTTAAACTATATGTTTAAGAGGGAGAACAAAGAGCAAGAACAAAACACAGGAGACTGTATTAAGAGTGTTACTTTTTTCTGTTTTTTTTTTTGTTGTTGTTGTTGTTTTTGCCAATAACCAATATGTGCCTTGGGGGAGGAGTTAAAGACTAGCTTTGAACATTCCTGGTGCACGCTCCATGTCTTACTTTTGTAAAGAATTTTTAATGATTTTTCTAAGAGTAATTAAAGATGGGAATAGGTGCAAGAAAGGATTCTCAGAAACTCTGTAATGTACTTAAACTATTTTAAATGCATACAACAGATGCAATCCGTACAGCACCCCTTCCAAGTGCCTTTTTAATTAATTGTATAGTTTATGAGTCAGTGTAAATTTGTGTTTATTTTTATATGATTGAATGAGTTTTGTATGAAAGTGAAATGTTGTCTATAGCTAATGCCTATAAACAACCTGAAGACTTGTGAAATCAATGTTTCTTTTATAAAAAACAATTTTCAAGGTCTTTTTTACAATAAACATTTTTGATTCAAAATCTATTGTTTGTATACTATTTTCAGAGACTTCAGTTACTTCACGATTAGTACCAAAAGGCGATACAAATAATTGTTTCTTTTGTTAATAACAGAAAAAGTAAATAGACTTTATTATGAATATCAAGTGTTATTTTATGTGTTATAATAAGTAAACTGCCAATATTTCTTCTTTACTCTTAAGATACTACTGTCTCATTCAGAAAGACATCATGAAGGTAGTTTGTTACTATATCCTTTTAACAAAAATCACACTTTCCAAGTGTTAAAAATAGTCACATTAATAGCCAAGAATACCTGTGAGATGAAATTACAATCACACATTGTAATGAGTGATTACCACATACGTCACTGGAACAGTTTAAGATTTTTAAAGGAAATATTTAATGGGATATAAAAGAAAGAAATAGAAAATCTGTATGAAAAAAGGTCAATCTATATAAAATGGATTTATCGTAAATTACACAAGTTGGAAAATTAAATCATGCAAAGAAAACCCCACATCTAGTGAAATAAAATAAGCAGTAAGTTTGATGGAAACAGAGCTAAATTAATAGAAAGTTAAGGTTTCTCCTTATGGTTTTCTGCACAAGCCCACACCCAAATACAATATACACTTAATAAAACATAACATGACCAGCCACTCCATATCCAACTACATGCTTACCAAATGCATATGTACTAACTCATATGTAAAAATGCTAACCATCATAGGCACTGTGAAAATTACCAAACTGCATTTGAATCCAAATTCCAAACCCATTCACTTATCTCCAGTATGCTCAGAACTTGCAGAATTATTTTTATTTCTAATGTCCCTGTGATACAATTAAAAGCCAGATCTAGTATCTCAAATATATTAGTTACAGGACATTAACAAGTGACCCAAAATACCAATACTATTCCCTTAACGTTTACATATATTTCACTATATGTTACCCTTAAATTTTTTAGCCAACATATAAAACTGGTGTGCATCTGACTGAAAAAAAAGAGACTCTTTGATTTAGTATTATATATATATATATCAGGATATATTAATATTCTACATATATACACACACACATTTTAGACATGTCTCAAAAGTGAATTATTTGGAACACCATTTACAAGTGTAAAATAAATGGCTGATAGCTTGACTGTGGCATTCTAAAGTTATAAAAAGACTATTTTAGTACTATAAAAAGACTACTTTAGTTAGTGTAGAATGATTGCCTAAAAATTTCCAAGTCAGGTAATATGTAGAAATATATTACAAGGGCGAATGTGAGTGAGTCAAGCTTTCTTGTGTGGTGGCCCATTCCCAGAACCACATGTATCCACATTTCCTTCCCTCATAAAAGACCTTCAGATAGATCATTTCTTGGTGTCCAAAACTTAAACAGATATTTTGTAAAAGGAAAAGTCTCTTCATTGGTTTAATTTCTTAGTGAATTAGTAGTAATATTTTGGCAATACATTTCAATTTTTCCTCACCACTTTTAATTTGACTCACAATTAAAATATTTTACTTTCATTAAGCTAACATGAATTTGAATCACAATACATCAGATAAGATTGTCTATAAATAGAGCTCATCAATTTTTTAGAATGCTTAAACTTTTTACCAAAGTATTTGACTAAATGTCTGCTCTTCTGCAATACATAAGACCTAGGTCAACTGTTGCTTACATTGAAATACTTTTCCAAATTCACCCTTTCTGGGAGCTTTAGATCATGTATAGTGTAGCTCTTATCTCACTACATGGCAATTGTTTGTTGATACCTTTCTTTTTCACAAGACAGAGCATCCTTAAGGCATAAATTCCCAGTACCCAGCATATCGTCTGGAATATAGACATCAACAGATGTTTGTTGAATGAATAAATAGATAAAATAATAGAAATTGGTGAAAAATAGCTTGCAGATCTAAAATAAATTCAACATTTTCTCCTTTATTGCAAAGAGTCTTAATTTTTGAGAGATCACTCAAGCAAATGTAGTGGTATGTCTCCTAACTTAGTGCTGACAGCTTCTGTACAGTAGACTGGATGCTCAAAAACATGAAGCAGGGGCAAGTTTGAAAGACATTCTAAGAGCCTGGGCTTTGAAAAGTATGGATTTTTAAAATGAGTGCATATGCTAATAAGCATTCTCGGTACTCTTGATTTGTTTTATATAATTAGAGTCAGTGTGGTATAGTAGGAAGAGCACCAAGCTTTTAAATGCAGTGCATGTGTTCATTGAATTACTGCCGTTATGTCTTATGCAACTTACTTAACCCCTCAGTGCCTCAGTTTCCCAAGGTGTACAATAGCAATAGATTATTGGTAGTATAAGTAAGTACCAACAGTCCTTTGCACTAATAGACCTTGTAGAATATCAAGTGCCCAATGTTACTATTAAATGCTTAATACATGCCTGCTCTTGTACTAGGCAACTTATTCACGTCAGATTCAATGACAAGAATAAAGCTGGTATTTTATGGATGAGAATATTAAACTCAAAAAGTTTGGATAATGGAGCCAAGGTAACAAAGGCATTATGCTGCAAAACTGAAATCAACCCTGCTTTTCTACTCCACCATGAGCATGACACTCACTCCACAGCTGAACTCTAGTCAGCACAGTGACTTACATGCTGTAGGCATATAGTAGACATTTGTCAAAAAGGATAATGATAATGTGCCCTGAAATTAAATATTTTAGGGATCTATGTAGGAACTATCATAACTCAGCAATTATATAGTAACTTACAACAATTTCAGACCTATTTCCCAATTTCTTTCTAGAACTCCTGCCAGCTCCACTTCCTCTGATGTCGACCCTCCTGTTACGATATGCTCTTCCAGCCCCTCTAAGCTCTGCTGGTGCACGTGAGCCCACTTCCTCTGGTCTGTGCTCTGTGGAGATGAAAAGCAGCTGGTCTCCATCCTCTGTACATTAACACTTCATCTTCTGAAGGCCACTGTTCCTCCCTCGCACACCCACACTCCTCACCCGGGCTTTTATCTTCCTAGACTAAAAAGTCTTCCAAACCAAACAATCATTTCTTTCACCACTAAAATGTGGACACTCTGGTGTAATGAGGCATTTATAATTTTGAAAGTCTAAGATTTCCCTGGCTGAGATCCACAAGCAAGAAGTCCCTAGTTTAGAGACGGGAAACATTTTGAACAAAATTAAATTCAGAATCAGTGTTCTGTCATCTAGGGAAGTAACACTTCTCAAATAATATGACTTTCTATCATTCTTGTCTTCTTACGAAAGATGAAAGATAAAAGTTTTCCCTTTACCTGCGATGGGCACATTTGGAGGGAAAAAGCCCCTCACTTAACTTCTGGCAGTAAATGCATACAATCTATGACCCCAGCAGTACATCTATGGCTAAAGTGAGATGTAACCCCTCAGCCGTCCGGGGAGCAACAATTATTCTGTGGTAAGCTTGCATGTAGAAAGGCAACAAGCATGGCAACTTTTCCGCAGTGGCACTTGGCCAGCCCCCCAAACAATGAGAGGTTAGCAGAGGAAACGACAGCATATCCATGTCCACAAGCTCCAAAGGGACTGCTGAGGTATTTATAGCCATGAGTGGGGGAACTGCTGTGATTAAAAGATGGGTGTGTTTTTGCATTTTGTGCACTAGTTCATTTAATTAAGCTCTTCTGGTTTTAACGGTCAGTTTAATTCATTCAAACTGGAAATTTGTAGCGATAAGGGCCTTTGAATTACTACTAAGTAGTTTTGTTAGATAATGGCTAGGGATGGGCCTGTCATTCACCCCTCAGCGGTTAGGATGGTAGAGAAGGATGGATGATTTTGTTCACAAGTTTATTCTGGGGCTGGAATTTACACCCTCCCAGGTATGGGGCACCAGGTACTCTATTTCTTCTCCTATGGAGTTTGCAGGTAGTAAAAGGTGGTTCTAAGGAGCGGGCAGGAAAGACTCAGATTGAATAAAATAGTGATACAGTCTCTTAACAAAGAAAATGAGTTGTAATTATATTTCTTATGAGTTCCAACTTCTGCCTATATATCCATCAGAAGTCTAGAGGTTTAAATTTGTTCTGTGTTGTGTTAATACTTTCATTTAGATTTGGCAGAAAGGACAGTGAAAGAGGCTGCCACCTTCAGGTGTAGACAATCTTGCCGAGCTGCAGGCTCCGAGGTCCTCCCGTCCCATGGTGATCACATCTTGGTGTGCACAGAGGGCCCTGGGCCTTGTTGGCATCTTAATGTGGTTGGTCTGGGGCAGGGCCTGACCCTGCCTTTCTAGCCAGATCCCAGGTAATATCAATGCTGCTGACCCCTATTCCCCACTTTCATCCATGCTAGGCTCCCAGGCCCATGCTTCTTCCCACCTGAGCCGAGTTCCTCACTTAGCACAAACCAAAACGTGGGAATGGGCAGCTGGAGAGCAGCAGACAAGGTCTGCAGCAGGTGCGGCTGGGACATGCCTGCACTCCAGGTTTGTTGGATCCCACACACGCCCAGCAAAGCCAGCTTTCTTCTCTTCTGACCTCTCTGCTCCCCCACAAACCACCCTAGGCCACCTCTGAGCTCTCTAACCATATGACTTGGCCACGTTTTCATCTTCTGCTCTAATTTTCCAAGCATGCTCCAGTCCTGCCAAATCCTCATCCACTTTTGGGGCTCAGAAATGCATATGGGCTCTTTCCAGTCCACTTGCACCCAGAAGCTGGGCCTGCTCTCTGCAGGGAAGCATGTAAGTGTGACTTCGCTCCACACTGAAGGACCACCCACAGGTGAGGTGACTCATGGGGAGTCCCTGCTAAGAGGCCTCTGGTTCCAGCCTGCTGGTCATCCCTCGGGATCTGATGGCTTTCCCTGTTGGTGTCAGGGCATTCCTACCAGAACTACTCCTGGGCTTCTTTCAGGAATGTTCACAGCCACTTCAGGTGAGCAAGCTGCTTCTCCCCCACTGTTACCTTTTATCTTTTAAAAATATTTGACATTTTGCCAAGTGGAAGTTATGTGATGTGTTGTT